TGTAGCTCTCTGGTGGTCGATTTCAATCCTGTTGTACGAATTAGCAAATGCACTTCTATACTGTATTTTAGGCAGTGTGTTTAAGTTGCATTTTTTTTTCCCTTCCCGTTCTATAGCTGTTACAATTCTTTTTATGTCTATAGCAGCTATTTCAAAGCAGAAACTCCCTACATAGTGTCCAGGGATAGGATTCTTTCTTCTGAGATCTAGGCGCTGCAATGAATTTCCCTAAGGCAGTATTTCCAGAACTGTGGGATGCACCCTTAAGGCAAGAGATGTATGGAGCTCTTGGGATGAGGAAAGGTTATGTGTAAGATGAAGCAAGATGACACTGGATACTAAAGCAGCCTTAGCAGCCTACTCACTTTTCACTGTTCAGTGATGCACAGCCTGCATGTCTGCTGTGATGGCCTTGATGTTGCTTGTAGCTTGTGCTTGGACAGCGGAAGATCCTGGGGCTGTGTGGCACTGGAGATGCTGAGCTGGGCTCTACCTGTTTCCAGGTAGTAGGTATTGGTGGGAGCCCCAGCATTTCAGCAGGGAAGTGGGTGTCTGCACTGACTGGCAAGGTGGTCATTACAAGCTTCAGCAGCTGCGTAGGCCTTGGAAAGCCTGTGTGATGGTGGAAGTAATAGGAGGAACAGATAAATTTGGCTTCTTGAGATCAGACACAGGAAAAAAATTTGCATTAATGGCTCATATGATACAGCAAGTCTCTCCCGTCTTTCTGAGGACTTCTAGCTTGCACAGCTGTAAGTTACAGCACAGTTAACAGTGCCATACTTTGATGGAATAGCGAGAGCCTGGCAGTCTAGTCTCTTCAGATGCTTTTCAGACAAAACCAAATCTGTACTCCACTGACTTTACTGGGGCCAGGATTTTACTGCGGTACATGAAAACAGGGTAGTTACTGATCTTTTGACAACCTGAAACATCTTCTGATTTGACAAAGTTCGAGCTTTGGCTTTGTTTTTATTTTTACCTTGTTGTCTTGCGTGTTAACTAGTGATTGCTATACTGTAAAACAGTTCTAACCTACTGATTTATCCCATAACAAAACTCTTAGTTTTGTTATTCCTGTGAGAGACTGTAAGGAGTTGGAGTTTTCCATTTTTCAGTTAAAGCAGAAATGTGGGAATCCACTTTAACAACTAATTATTTATTTCATGGGAATGTCTACCAGTAATAATGATATATTCAGGATTACTTTATTTCAGCAAAATTTAATCACTACTGCACTTTGCAAAAATCTCCTTGATGATAAAGAGTTGGTGTTACAGACTTAATTCCTTGAGAAAGAAAAAGGAGGAGGTTATATTTTAAATTTATACAAAATTGAAAATGAGGTGAGGCGTTCAGGAAAGGGAATGCTTTCAGGTGAAAATAAGTTTGAGGGAACAACTGGTAACTATAGCACGGGCACTGCCTTCCTGTTAAGTCATCTAAGGAAAAACTAGATATCTAATTTCACTGATTTTATGATAAGCTTTATAAGAAGTACTATTAATATATAATTCAGAAGTCTAGAATAATCAATGCTCACTTTACTGTAATTAAGTTTTCCTACATATAAGTTTAGTGCCAGGAAATAAAGGAATTTAATCCAGGTCCTTCAGTGTTTTTGCTAGGTAATTTAGAACCTGGCAAAATGATAAATTTTTAGCATTTATAGATCATAGGAGCAAGTTATGTGCATATTTCGTCATGTGTTCAATCAGTGTAACATATAATCAACACAAGTGACACGGAAAACAAGCTCCTCAGATTTGCCTTTTTGTTGTTAGTTCTCAATAATTTTACATTTCTAACTTTGGGTCAGCTTTCAGGTTCATTATAATGCAAATAAATATTCAAATGATATTATATTTAATTGAAACTCAATTCCAACATTCATTTTTAAATGATATTTAACCTGAATTCAGCTACTCCTGGTTATCTCTAGATCACGTTAAAAAAGTCGTGTCTACAAAAATGAAATGTTACATAAAATTCCTTTTTCTGAATGCAGACCAGGCTTTGTAAAGATTCTTCTCTTTTACACCTCAGTTTTCAGTCTAGGCGATACACCTTAATGAAAGCATGCTACTGCATTCTCCAGTTATGTCACTATTTCTCCTATTATTTTGAGGTATTATAATTAACATCACATATGTATGTATTCAATTATATACAGTAGATATGCTCACGTATTTTTACATAAAAGTTGATAAATGGCAATTAAAACTTCACTTAGGCATTTGGCTCCAATATTTTTAGAAGTGCTTACTTAAAAGTTATGAATGTACGTATGGCAGGATTGGGAGGGCCATTTAATCCTTCAACAAGAGAACGTGTGAGAGGATATTGCAAATATATTTCTTTGTACTATAAAGGCTTGAGATTGATGAAGCATTTATTGATAAACAATGTCTTCAAATGAATGTATTTTACTTACACAAATACTTACTGTTTTTCCCTTTTTTGATGTCTTGCATTTATTCTTTACAATCAAGATGAGCCATTTTCTTCTAACTATTATGTTAAGCTGCACAAGTGTATTGCAGTTTGGTTGTGGTGTTTGGGGGTGGGTCGGGCTGTGTGACGCATACTAGTTGTATTATGTATTGTGATGCTTTTGTTATATACTCATATTTGTGTTTAAAAAAAACAAATGATTGAGAGGGTTGAAATAAAAGCTTTTAACAGATTCAAGAGTAATGACAGAGCTACGTATAGATTTTTATATAGCTTTACTATTATCCAGCAAGTCAGTTCTGTGGGGACCAGGTAGCCTCTGTTTATTTCATGATGTGTTCCAAAGAGCTGCTCTTGCTAGCTCAATAAGGAAGTGAATCACAGCTTTATAAATAAATTAATGAAATTAAGCTTCCGTTGAAAAACGGGTGACTGACTTTTTTTTTTTTTTTTCTCCCCTCCCCTCCCTTATAAGTTGCAATTCAGTGTCTGGAGACTGTTTTTAAGATTAACCTGGAAGATACTCATCTCGCATCTCCACAGCATTTGATAGAGATGTTCACAAATTCTTTTCACAAGGTAAAAATTGAATTTAGTTTCTAGAGTTACTCTGCCAGTATGTGATAAGATTTCATATTGTATTCACAACCTTAAAGTGCTGTGTAGGTCAAAACAATGTGGAAACTTAAGGAAAACATGCAAAAAAGTGAAATTACCATAAAAGCTGGCACAATGAGAATCTTTTGGGAAGGTGGGAGGAATTAATTTCAGTCAGACAAGGACAATTCCATATTGAATATTACTGAACAGTGGATGTCTCATTCTCACTTGAAGGATTTTTTTCCCTCAGTTACAGTTAAGCATTTTGCCATTCCCAGAGATAATTATCTGGAAAGTGCTTGAGGTCATCCACAGTTTTCTAATACTCCTGATTTCCGTGTGGAAATAGTTGAGTCATCCAGTTTTAAAAAAGGCCCCGTGAACACCAACCTTAAAATGTAAACTTTTAAAATGCAGACTTATAATTCATGTTATATAGGAGTCCCCAGTACAGGAAGCACAGGAACCACCAGGTGGCCAAAAAAAAAAAAAAAGTCAGAGGTAAGAAAACCCAGACTATAGAGATGTATCAATTCCCTCTCTTCCCCTGGAATTCCTTAAAATGCGTGGTGAGCTATAAGGTTTGTTTAGTAGCGGAAAGAAAGCTACCTTTCTCTTTTAGGCATGTTTTAGTTTTTTCATGCTTCCAGTGCACTACAGAAAATCTGGTTGCTTGTTGATACGATGGTGGAGTAATTCTTCCCAGGAAGTTTTTTTTAATATAATCAGGGCTTATATATTAATGAAAAAAATCTTGGTTTTTTTTGTTGGTATTTTTGTTGTTGTTGTTGGTTTTTTTTATACACAGAATGACATGCTGCCTCTCTCAGATTCTTTACCAGAGGATGTGGAAAAGGCTGACCAGCTGAAGGATGAAGGTTTGTAATTAGCAAAGAAATAAACATGTTGCACTCTTATTGGCCCCTGAGGATATTAAGGTTTTTGAAATATTATGGATAGCAGCTGGGCAGCATATCCCATGCAAAAACTTGAGTTTATATTCACTGGTGACTGTCTCATGTTGTAAGAGGGATAAGTGATTTGCTCTATATGAGATTTAAGAAAATATAGTCTATTCTCTGCCTTGTTGTTTATTGCTCAAGAGGTTGCTAAAAACTAAGGGACAATACGTGAAGTCCTGGTCAACTTTCCTGAGTAGTAGAAGCTTTAAAGAATGAACAATTATTGTTCAGTATATTATGGCTTTCTCTGTCCACATAATTTCTATACAGTTTCTACTTCATATCAAAAAGGTTATGTGATATCAAGTGTTAGATGCTAGTTGAATATTCTAAGATTGGTACAGTTACTGTCAGGTTACTAGGATCAGTATTTCACATGTTTTTTTAAAGCAACAAATTTGTAAACTTTATAAAAATTGCAGAAAAGACAGTTGTTTATTTTCCCTGTGATATATGTTATTGCAGTGAACATAAGAAAGGCAGCTGTATAGAAGAAATCTTCACTGATACTAACCAAGAAGGAATCCATTTTGTTTCTTTTTTTTTTTTTTTTGACGGAGGAAATAAAGAAAAGACATAGCACTGATTCCTGGTATGAATTTGTATCGGGTGGACTGATGCTTTGCAAATCACAATTTTAATGACCTTTTGGATTTCCTGACACTTACTTGGGCTTTATAGAAAAAAAATTTTTTTTTTCCTACTTGCAAGGTAGCTGTAATCCTATAAAAAAATATTTCAGGTTAATGAGAAAAATCAGACCATATTTGAGAATGAACCCAGTGTCTCTCTCTTCTTAAAACTGGCCATCTGCAGCCATTATGAATGGCAGAACGAATGCAGTCCAAAAAAAGAAAACTTTTGCTTGGTGTTGAAGCTGGTCGTTACCTCTTTACTTCTGAGGATATGAGTTCAAACCAGGTTAGTTCACAAGTGAGAAGAAGTAAGAAGTAACATACCTGTTGTGCTTGCTGGCTTTTTGTTTTACTGTCTGCTACTGCCAGCTCATGCAAAGTGAAGAATACTTGCAGCGCTCAGTACAGTTATTGGACTGTAGGGATATTCAGCACTTTCTAGGCCTGAATTTTATAACAATGGATGACCTCAATCAGTGACTTCCATCTTACCATCTGTCAACTCTTGTGGATTTGTGAACTGGACTAAGAAAATGAAGTCAAAATGTATGCTATGTGTTAGTCTTTGTGTGGTGTTACTAAAGCAATTCATATCTCTACTGAAAAATTTGAAGGGGTCTGTGCTTCAACAAAAAGCCACTTAATGGGTCAGCCATTAGAGGCATTAGTAAGCGGTTTGGAAGTGCTTGAAATGTTTTTGCTTAATTTCCCTTAATAAAATTAAAGCTTCCTGTCCTGTTTCGTAATGCTGCATTTCAATCCTCATTTTTGCACCCGTGTTATCTGTCACTAGTATCATATTTCCAGTTTTTGAGTACTTTTCTGCCCAGGGCTTAGGGAGATTAATTAGATAACTTGTTAAAGTTCATTTGAGATCTTTTATTCCTGGCTTTTATCTGTGTGATCCTTACCTATGAATAATTTCCTTCGCTTTTTCTGCCACCAGCTTGCTCCTCCTCTGCTCTCAAGTCTGCCTTGGTACCTGTAGAAATTGGCTGATGAATGGCAAAACAAAATCAGCTCAGTTTTCTTTTTTGGTCATTGTTTATGAAAATCAGGAATTAATATGATCTCTAGACTAGTAAATACTTGAATCTACTTCCCTAATCTTGTATATCTCTTGATACTTTGTGTTAATATAAGCTACGTAGAGTAGAGATTGTGTGGGGGTTTGTATAGTATAACACTGGGTTGATCAAAAATAGAGTTTCTGGGTATTCCCACAGTATACATACTAATAATGGCTAGTATTTTCACTATTAAAAGACACACATTCATCTCTAAAGTAAAAATGTTTGTTTCTTTTTTCATCTTAAGAATTTTTGCCTGGTGTTAGAGTGAAATTATAGTTGCTTTTTCTTTTGTCTCAAATTGCATAGTCTCAGCAGAAATAGTACGTCTCACTATTTTCTTGTTTTTTAGCCAAGTTCTGAGCTGGAGAGAGCAAGATTGGTACCTGTTTATGCTAGCTCCAACTTAGTCCTGCATCTCAGGTCACTGTTGGTTCAGAACGGTATCAGAAATTCCAAGTTTAGTGGTTATTGATAGCAGTTTTGTTTTATAGAAATGTTAACTGCTGCAATCCTACTGGTTGCAGTTGGAATTTTAGTTGGGCTAAAAAGATCAAAAGTTATCTTTTAACTTGTGAGTCTTACAACTCACCAGAGGATATAGCGTGCAGACCTTTACCTTAAATCAAAGGAAAGATGGGCTTCTAAAATACAATAAAGGCGTAATTACGTTCTGTGTACATATTGAAGGTATAGATGTGATGACCGTTTCAGTTTACCTTGTCATTGACAGAGATTGCTGACTATAGTTAGTCTCTCTTATATCATTATTGAGAAGAGGTAATTTTTGTACTTCTGGTGATACTTAGTTACCTAAATTTGGTTGTGTTTTTTAAGTTCTCCAATGTTCACAAGTAAATGGAAGCATAGTTAGTACTGGCGTTTAGGGCTGCTTGCTCCAGTCTCTTGCATCAGAGAGAGCATGCTGCACTGACTGAAACTTTCAGCCTTTGTTTCTGCAGTTATTTACATCTGTAGTAACCTGTTGACGCTTCCCTTTTCTTGCTTGTTTTGAGAGAGAGATGACATATTTTGCCGAAATACAAGCAAGTCTGTCACTCTCCTGCCAGCTTATTTCTTGACGTTGCTAGGAAGCCAAGGCTTCAAGGGTCTAGAGACCAGGGACACCCTTAGGCTTTGGGAGCTCAGAACTAAGGCTTTATTTTTCTATTATTCTGTCATGGGGAAAGACAGAAGCGGGAGATCTGAGAAGATGAGACCAAAAGGGGTTTAACATATAGCCTATTGCATTATGAGATTTGCAAAGATATTTAGACTGATAAATCTAAATTGCAATGGAGGTGTTATGTTTGAATTGTTTTAGAACCACTTCTCAACAAACTGGTCTTTGCTTAACAGCAGAAGCTACCTAGAGTAAAATAGCAAGATGAGAAGGGGAAAGTCTATGTGGTGGACTACACTGTACATAACAATCTTTTACATGCATAGTTGGTACTTTTATTTGCATTATTACATGCCAATTCTATTTAAAAGAATGTATCTCAAAAAAGTGAAGTCATATCTATTTTATAGATGTTATATTTTCATTGTATCTTTTAACTACTTAAGAGCTTTCTGTAATTTATTTCAGGTAACAATCACATGAAAGAAGAAAATTACGGTGCTGCAGTGGATTGTTATACTAGAGCTATAGAACTGGATCCAAACAATGCAGTCTATTATTGCAACAGGTAAAAATAAAAATAACGCACCCCTTTCATTCATGAACATAATTTTAAAGATAAATTATGAAGTAGATCAGAACAACACGAGGTTAAAAATAGCTGCTAATCGGAAACTAACATGTTAAATTTTTAACAGATCTATCTAAAGATATGAATCTTTATCAGAAATGAACTGATTCAGTCTATCTGTATTAGCTAAATGTGTACTATGGACTTTAAAGTCACTCATAATACTTGAGATGAGGTTTTTGTGAGTTAGAATCTCTATTAAATCGTGATTCCCAGTCTGTAAGAACCCAGTGTGTTTGAAGTAATAAGAGCCTTTTTTGTGTTCCAGTGAATCATGTGCCATCTCTTTCTCTCTCAGTATTGACTTTCCCTGGAAAAAGGGTCATTAACATGGGAATAGCATTTTGGAGACCTGAAGCATTGTATAAGTACTCAGCCTCTTTATGTAGGACCTGTTGAAAAAGTAACAAGACTATGTTATTGTAGTGTCTTTAACATGCTCTGCCAGACTTCATGTGATCCCATACCAGTAGCATGGTGTTCCAGGAACCAGCAGCAGGCACATTCAGCTATACTGTCCTGAAGGCCAGTATAAGAACATAAGCAGTGTAGCCTGTGAGCCCTACCAGAGGTGACCTGTCTCTGTACAGTCAGCGTAGAGCCTTTCTGCTCTATACTGTTCAGTGCATCTGCTACTAGAAGGACTTATCAACTTGAGTGCAGTCAGTGTGGCCTTGTGGCACTGTACCTAGCGGATTCTTCCATTTTCTGAGCTATGCTTCCATTACTTGAGTTTCATTTGTGATGAATACAAGTGAATGATTCAGAGTTTAGTGACAAGCATAAAGAGCCAGGGAATGCACAGTTTACTAATATTACGTTAAATATCAAGACAGTAGTTCAGGATGTAAACCATCTACTTTCTCTGATTGCATAAGTGATTTTAGGTTTTAAATGGTGATATGAGACCCGATTCAAAAGCCTCCTAAAATCAGTAGAAGTTTCCTCATTAGGTTGTGCTTAGGCACCAAGTCTGTTGCGCTCAAAAGAGAGGAAATGCTTCACTGTGTGTACTACAACATCATACATTAAATGGGTGAGGACCAAAATGCATCTTGATGTCAGTGAGCACAATATTGTACAAAGTTATTTAAAAGAAGGAGAGGCAGTAGCTTGGAATTTTGGGGGTGATGCAGTGTTCAAATAAACAGACCTTGTTCTTATGCTAGTTTGGAATCAGTGGAGAGTTAGTGCCTTCAACAGTGTTGCTTTTTATTCATAGCAGAGAGAAAAAGAGAAAGTTGAGATGTGCTGGAAGTTTTAACTGGCCATATAAATTGTCTGCCCACATGGATAATATTTCCAGTGCAAACAAATGCAAGACTAAGCATTGTCCCTGATTTTATCCGTACATCTTCACTGACATCTGTGAAGCTGGACAGGTATTTAAAAGATAAATAGTCCTATTCAGAGGAGATTTTAATCAGTCAGACAAATTGTGCAATTCAGAGGGCATCACAGGAGAAAGGATGAAATACGATGATGATCTTTGTCATGTTTAGCATCCCTAATAAAAGAGAAAAATGCTTCATGCAATGGAAATAGTCATTTTTACTATAGTTTTTTAACTAAGGAAAAACAAGTTAGAATGTTTTTGAGACCTTTCAAGCTGGGAAAATTTTGAGCATGAATCTGTTCCAATCTCCCATTTAGTTTGGGCAAGTCTGCAGGTTAAAGTATAAATGTCCACAACATTTAGTATCTCTCTGGTGTACAGACACAATTATAATTCAGTAATTCAGAGATTACTAAGAAATGCTATCTGCATTTAGCTGTAAGCATGACTTGCCTCTTGGTATGTTCCTGTAACAGAAATAGAGCTTACAGTGGAAAGGTGCTAGTTCCTTTAAAATCATTATCCCGAAGCCAGTTTCTGAGAGCACGTGGAGCAGCCCTTACTGAAAGGAAATTCTAGCAGTTCTGGTGTTTCAGAAAGCAGAGAAGAGAGCAGTGAAAAGTGAAGGCATTCCCTTGAATGTTATGAAATGGCAGTAAAAATATACTTCTTACTGGAAAAGGGCAATTGTATTAAATACTTCTGTTGAAACAGTGATTCTATGTAAAAGTTATACTATCTGAGAGTTTCAGTTCCTGCAATAGGTTTTGTGATGTATTTTGTGCATAGTCATGTGCTGGTTCTAAAACAGTTTCTTAGAGTTATTTATCCTTCATGTCCTTAAAGGTGAGCCTGTGTTCTCCAAAGCTCTAGTCTAGCACATACTTAATTCAGAACATTTGCATATCCAACTGAATTAAAGAAAGCTGAGGCATTTTCTATATAATGAATGAAAAGTCAGTAAAATTCAGATTAAACACATCTAAAGTTAGTTATGGACTTGTGAATCTCTGAGCTTTTTTTTTGGTGTTGCTTTTTGACAAAGCTCTCTCCCTTCCCTCCCCGCTTTCTTCTAGGGCTGCTGCTCAAAGTAAGCTCAGCAACTACAGTGAAGCAATAAAGGACTGTGAGAGAGCCATAGCAATAGATCCAAAATACAGCAAAGCATATGGGAGAATGGGGTAAGCAAATACAAATCTGAGTAGCCACTAAAGGCCAAGTTAGATTTACCACCATAGATTTTCTGAAATCAGTAGAGCTGTTTTACTTCAACTCACAGTCTTATTCTGAAAGTGTTGCAACTGTCTGAAAATGGCACTGTCGGGCTATCAGCTTTAAGTTTTATAGAGGCTGTTGTCTCAGCAATTTCATATCAGTTTTAGTCAGTTTGCAATTTTTTTCTTTCAATTGACCAACTTTGCAAATTTAGTCAAGACGTGTTTTTCTACCTTCTACCTGATTATGAGTAATGAAAATTCTATAGTTGGATCAGTGAGTCTAGCCCGTTAATGATGCTGTCAGAGAACAGAATTCTCAGTGTATTGGAGCTTTAGTGCTAACAGGAGAAGAGACTTAATTTTCTGTTCAGTAACCCTCATGAAACAGATTTTTTAGTAAGACTATGCTATATCTCTTTAGTAACTTTTCTGAATCGTGTCTGAGAGATTATCAGTATTATCTCTTCAGGTGGAGGGGTCTGATTAAGTGCTATCTCAAACAGTAATGCCAGGAATATTCTCCTGAATTGAATATCTACTTGAGTGAAGGGCCTTTCTGTCTGGAGATGTGCAGCTTTGCATTTTCAATAATCAAACATATTGTGAGAGTGTGAGCTGAATGCTCCCTTAGACTTTTGGCTTTTGAGGTCATGTCTCTACTAGGAAATTAAAAAATGCTTGGCATTGTTCTTTGGGGTCAGCTGGCACTGAATGGTCCATGTTCATATGATTAAACTGCTAGTTTGCATTATGGAGTGGCCACATTCAAACTGCCTATTGCTAAATTGTCTTGGCCTGTGTTAACTTCTGAACCATGCTCTATAATTGTTTGGAACAACAGTAGCTGGCCTGGGACAAAACTATGCCAGGGGCCATTTATCTAAGAGTGAAGATAATGGAATTCTATTACCTGAAAACCTTCCTTGACAGACTTTATTTTACTAGTACTGATACAGCTTGATTGGCTTTTGATAGTTAATTCACTTTGAAATTTTAGAGACTGTTGAATTAGTTTTATCTTTTTTAAGACTCTTTAGATCATGTCTCCATATAGCAAAACCAGAGATCTTCAGATTTCAGTGAGATGGAAGGAAACCACAAGCTGATTTAATTGGAAAGTGGAGGTTATTTTAGAGTTTTGGAGCGTGCCTTTTGATATACAGTGTAAGTGGGATCGTTCTCAGGGGATCAAGTTTCTCTTATTTGATAGGCTGATATATTATTGTTATGATAGAGGATATATTTTGAGCTACAGGTTGTGGATTAACTCAGTAGATGGATATAATAATACAATTTGCATAAGCTGACTTAGGAAACAATGCTTGTTGAGTAATATTTTAAAAGAAACGGTTGCAGAAGCCACCATCTCAACAAAAAATCCTTGTGAGAAAGCTATATTTTTCTGACTGCATTATGCAGGCATATCAGGTTTTCTGAGGATTTGACAGAAGCTGTGTGTGTCACAGGAGAAAAAACAGAGGTGCCACAGAAAATGCAGAGACGGGAGCAATGCAGACAGTTAGAGATGCCTCCAGCATGACCCAGAGAGAGCACTTGTCTAGTTAGGAGGTGAGCCTGGAACTGTGAGCAAAGAAACTGTTGTCCACTGTTCTGACTCATACTGTGTTCCCAAGAAGCAGCATTTTACATATTTTCTCTGTTTATAAGCATAATTGCATCTCAGAAATACCCGCTTATATTGCTTCCCTGATCAGAAACAACTATGCTGCCAAAATAAATGGGCCAAAAGGGAGAATGTTGTTTGAGAGCAACTATGTTAAGGGGGGGAAACACTAAGACTGCATGGGCTCCTTCAGGAGCACAGTGAGTTTCAAGCTATTGTTGATATACCTCATAGCAGAGTTTGTAATCACTGCAAGTAACGACTGGGACTGATTTAAGTAACACACTTGAGCTCTCTTGCCTGAGATGAAGACTAAGGTCTGTTAGCAGGCTTTGGTGCAGGATTATCAACCCAGTCTCTGTAGCTCAGCACATACTGAAGGGAGAGTGAGAGCACTAAATAGTTGAACGTAGGTTATACAAGTCTTTCACAACATGGGGAAAAGATCAGTATTGCTCTGTAGTCAGTACAAATGGATTATAGAGCAGAAGACAGAATTGAAACTGCAACCAGATGAACTTCTAGAAGAGTTCAAAGAAAGATAATGTTTTAAATGTAGTAGATAATCAAATTTGAAAACAAATATTTTTTCAAAAGTAGTAGATAATCTATCCTGCGCTTTCGTGAGCTGCTAGAGAAGAATCTTTTTTGAACCATTAAGCAGGCTTCCTTGGTACAAGAGTTTCTTACATAGTCTTAGAGATGTCACTGCTATTCCATATAGCTGTTAGGCAAGCTGTCGAAGGAGATGCTCTGAAGGAGAATCTTGCACTGATTCTAAGACAAAAGATCTGGGCAGGTTAAAACTTGTGGTTTCAATATTTGGTTCCTTGAAGCTGCAGAACTAACATGAAGAGTATCACTCACCTTACTTACCAGTGTGTCCTTCTGAATGATCTCTTGGATCAAAACATACGGAGGAAATGTTTAGAGGAATTCAAAGGTCATATGAACAGTTACAGATGCTGGATCTGCTTTTGCTTTCAGAGACTAAATCACTGTATGTCAAAGAGTTTGTAATGAATCTTGCATGTACGTGAAACAGACAATGCAAGATGAGTGAGTTAGTTCTTCAGGGATCCTCTGCTCTGCAAAAATAAATGCTTAGACTAAGCAGTAGCAGCATGATAGCATACCTTGCTTTAACTTTGTGCTGAAGATAAAAATGAGTGGTGAGATAGTGTTTTACTTAGAGCAGAAAATGTCAGTATCGTTATCTTTTGACGCTGATTTATGTTATTACCAGGATTTTTTTTTATTTCACATTAGGTTGGCTCTGACCTCAGTGAATAAATATGAAGAAGCAATTACCAGTTACCAAAAAGCACTCGATCTTGATCCAGAAAATGACTCTTATAAGTCAAATTTGAAAATAGCAGAACAGAAACTAAGAGACATGTCCAGTCCTGTAAGTTAGCTCTGCATCTATTTATTTACAGTGGTTTTAACTGAGATTTTTGTTTAGGTAAATTAATTTTCATATGCAATTTGTTTTTTAGACTGGAACTGGACTGAGTTTTGACATGGCAAGCTTGATAAACAATCCTGCCTTCATTAGTATGGTGAGTGTATTTTAAGCTTTATATTATATTATTTTTATGACTGCATTTCTAAGAAGAACTCCTGTTCAATAAGACAAGTGATTTTACTGCTTATTATAATTGGCAGTTGTTTCATTATACTGAATTTAAACTTTTCTAAGTGATTTTACACTCACACCAGTAAGTGAAACTTACATCTCCTCTAATGCTTGTCTAATTTCCAACTGATCCTTTACTACTTATGAACAAAAATATGCATAGATTAGCTATGCTGTTTTTATAGATGGCATGAATAAGAAAACACTGTCTACAGCAAGATGAAAACATCTGTCTTTTTTGTTCCCCATGTAAGCAGTTAGCAATGAATATAAAAAAATTGCCTCTTAAATGAGTAGCAGTTGATTCAGATGCAACCTATCCAAGATGGAAGTAACCCCAATACACCTTTTTGTTCTTACCCTTTCAAGTTATCCCTGACTTTCCTAAGTGTGCAGCATTTTGAGATGTGCAGATAGTGAATATACCTTTACTTCCAATACACTGAAAAGTTTTGGTTTTCTCTCTCAGTTTTTCTCCATGCATGGCTTTCTTAGCAAAATGTTATGGATTAACTTTGAAGAATAGGGTTGGGAGGGGGAAAAAAAAAACCAACTTGTTCCCTTTGAGAACCCAGTTAAAACTTCACTACCTCTCTGGCAGCTCCTATATGACAGAACACTTCAACCAGTTCCATTTCAGCATGGAAACACACTGCATGAGAGAGAGAGAGAGAGAATAGATCCGGTCTGATGCTGTGTACTAGATAATAGAGATGGTAAGCAAGGAAGAAGCGAGCAAGTTTTCCAGCAGCATTAGTGATTAAATAGCACTGGAACTCCATGTACCACTTTGCTGGCCGCATGACTTATTTAGTCAGTCTGCATCTGTTTAGAGTCGAAAAGGTATTCTTCAATATGGATCTAACTATGGGGCAAGAATTTTTGTGTATCACTTCCAGAAGAAGCGCAGCCAAGTAGAGCAGAGGATGTTCAGCCAGGAATGAATGTGGTGGGGGTTTGTTTGTTTGTTTTTTACTTCACTCACTGTCTGACCTTGAGAAAATCACTTCTGACTACTGTTTTGTGCCCAGACCTAGATCAGAGTTCTTACTGATGCAAGAGAGAACAAAAGCTGAATTTAGCATTTTATATTCAACTGCAGACTAGAGAAAACAGCCTATTTACTTTGGCGAGGTTTTGTGGAAATGTATTTTGATCAATAAAACAAATAGTGTGGATGTTTGTTTTTACATTTGACAAGATTAGTGAATGAGCAGATACTCCATTGTGCCTTTTAGTCTTATTCATACAGCCACTGATCTCTGTAGGAATTACAATACTAACTTTACAGCATCTTCTGGTTTATTCTGTAGTATCTGTCCATATGCACTCTTACCCTATGGTAAATACATTGTAATTTTTGAGATATGTTATTAATGAGAAATTTAACAGCCTTGTGCTTAGGACAATGGAAGAAAATACTTAAGTTACCATAGAAGATAAATGTTACCATAAAACCGTGATACAAAGTAAATCCGCAGCCTGATTTACTCTGCAGTATTTTGTTCATGTGGCCATAGCCTTAGCAGCTTGTACCTGCTCTAGGAATAACAGCTGTAAAGCTAATTTATATAATCTGGGAACTAATAAAATACAGACTTTTCCCCAAAAAGGTCAGTAGCAAGCCTTAGACCCTAGAAGTCTTAAGCTAATTTTTTAGTTTTAGGGTACTGGGTTTTTGTGCTTCATGACTTAATGTTCTATTTTTCATGTCTGACTCTGAATAACTGTAATTGTAATCAGTATTTGTTGTCTAAAGTATAATAAATTGTCAGCTTCATAGCCTAGAAATACTTTCCTGTAATGATTTTTTTGCTGGGGATCATATATCTCTGTGCACATAAATTTATCTTATGTTTTGTTACAAATTATAAGTTAAATTATATGTTTTTTCACATCTTCCTCAATGATACCTAAGTAGTAAAGGTATTATAATTTCAGCTATATGTTGTCTATTCTAGGCAGCAAGTTTAATGCAGAATCCTCAAGTTCAACAATTGTAAGTATTAATATGGATTATCATTGAAACAAATGTCTTTAGGGGATTGAATTAACAGAGGAAAACAGATAGTGCTGTTTTTCTGAAAATATAATTTTATTGTTGTGTACTGTAAATAGAACTACTACAGTTTATTGCTTACTCTAAATGCCAACCCTGTGTTAACTGTTTCAGGATGTCAGGGATGATGTCAAATGCCATCGGTGGCCCTGCTGCAGGTGTTGGTGGCCTGTCAGATTTGTCCAGCCTGATCCATGCGTAAGTGTTATGAATCATATAGTTTTAACTATATTACTTTTTTTTTTTTTTAAAGAAGCGGCATTTTATGCCATCTATTTAAAAGAGTTGGTCTCAAGCCAATTATATTGTGGACTCTCCCTACCGTAGGCCTGATTATTATTAAAACTGAGAAGTCCAAGACTTACTTTCTGCTCTCTTAAGTTGTTTGCTTGCTTTCAATGTCAATGGCAGAACTGTGGGCTCAACTTCACTTTCTGGTTTTCATGTGCTGTTCATTTTCTAAATGCTACTTACTAAAAATGCTACTTCAAACCTTTAGGTGCCTCTACAGCTTGCTCTCAAATTGCATTGATCAAATTACTACTTAATATCCCAGATACTATTTTGAAAAGCTGCAAATTTGCTGAGCACAGATTGCAATAGGTTCCAAAGGTGACTCCTGACTGACAATGCTCCAGCATTCTTGCATTGAGAGTGGGAGGGCTGTTTGTTCAGGGAACTCAGTATCTAATAAGGAGAGCAGTGGCTTTTACAAAAGCCAGGGCTGAGCTCATTTATAATGTGATAATCCATCTGGAACACAGTGCACAAAAATATGTGCCATTTGCTTATATGGCAAATCCTTTTAACAGGTATACCGTTTTACTGTAGTCCAGAATTCTAGCCTGTTTCAAGCTATGTTTTAAGTTTTGCCCCTCCAGGGCAAAGTAATTTATAATTCATGTTACAAGAAGGAATCTGCCCCGACAAAACCGAGGCCTGTTTTGACAAAAATCGTCTGCTATGTGTCATACCTCTAAAAATGGTGACTTTCCTTTAACCTGCACTGTGCTTTAAAGGTGTCTTGATAACCTCTGCTACCTGGGCAAAATGCAGAAGTTGCAGAGAATCCCATGCCAGCCTATTCAGGAAGTAGTGGGTTGTACTCACTTGCTTTTCCTAATTAACTAGTGTCATGCTCCTCTTTTACATAGACTTAATCTCACCTGTTTGTTTTAGTCTTAAGTTGCAGTTGTAGAGGTGGATCTGTCCTTACTTTAGTCTTCCAGAGAAGACTAAAGGTGGAATCCTTTTTACTAATGACCTTCTGCCCACAAGCACAAGTTGGCAGTAGCATACTTTATCTCTGCAAAAGCTTATACAAGGTTGCCCTTCAGCTAGAAGAGTATTTACCTTAAACAACTGTAATGGAGCCCCTTGAAAAGAAGGGAGCAAACGACTGGAGCAGTTTGGCTAAATTTTAGTCTTAGCAGTAAGTTAACACTTCTTCCTCGATGTTATCAGGTACAAGTAATAGTCCTAAAGAATGAAAATGAAGGCCTGACAATGATCTTGTTTGGAGAGATTCTGACTAGATAAAGCCCAAATACCACACATGTCATCTTAGTGTATATAGTCTTAATCTTTAGTCCTTAGTCTTAATTTTCTTTTAATGCAGCTTTCAGTTATAGTATTCTGTTTTCTTACACATGCTGCTTGTCAGTTTTTTTTTTTTTTTCACCTGCTCTTTTACATAAAACTGTTCAACACAGGGGGCAGCAGTTTGCACAACAGATACAGCAGCAGAATCCAGAGCTCATAGAGCAACTGAGAAATCATGTCCGGAGCAGATCATTCAGTGGCAGCACTGAAGAACATTCCTGACTTAAAGGAGGCATATACATTGGAATGGTATATAACCCCAAAATGCATACCATAGTTAGTAGCAAAAGCACCATTGTAACTCTTCTGCTTGAATAGAAGACAGAAAATTCTTTGTGCGTGTTCTGCAAACCAGAATAAATCTGTTAAACAGATCTACTGCACATAACTTGGAACATATCGTTTATGTATAGTTACTCCTCTGAAAATTAATACACTAAATAGATTGAGTGGTTTATTAAAATCCCTACATACATGTCATTTTCAGTATGTGCATTAGATTGATCTCTGGGGCTTTTGAGGGGATAGGAGTTTTGTGGTGGGCTGATAAGCTTGCATAATAGCTTAATTCTAAAATCCTAGTGTAAAAGGCATATTATTCTGATAGCGAAAATTTTCACTGACCATATTCCCTGCCAGATGTGCTATTGAAACAATAGATTAATCAGCCTTTCTGATGTATATCTGACATGCCCCATATAACAAGCATAAATCAGTGGCAGCGTATAGAGCGTAAAAACCAGTGCTTGGAAAGCTTGTTTCTTCAAGACCATGGCGGGGCTGTCAACAATAACATGAAATACTTTTCACTTCATTTGGCAGGAGGGAGGGAGAGGATTCCATACAGAGGAGTACCACAAATAATCGTACAGAAAGAGAGGATACTAATCTGAAGTAGGATAATGCACAGAAATCAAAAGGGAACGTGCTTGGGAAAAGGGAGGAGTGTTGAGAAGCTCTAGGATTTTCTACTGCCATGTATACCCTTAAATCATCGTGGCAGCCCTGGAGGTCAGCGTTATGGCACTATTGGCATAGGCATGGCAAACTGTATTACATTCTATATGTATGCAGTATTTAACATGAGCTTAAAATCGATAACTGCAATGAGCTAAAACTGGTCCCATGACTGTACAAATAATTCGTATTGGAAATTTACCCCAAAACTGCCTTAGAAAGAATGATTCTCTATATAACCTCATGAGGTAAATCACTCAAACAATTAAGGATTTTTAAAGTTTCATTATATTAACGTACCTTAAGTGATGGTTATGTGGCCAAGTTGAAGCTCTTCTAGTCTTTGGTAGTTCTGTCTCCACCCTGGCGTTTCTTGCTTGGCTGATCTTACTCTTTCAGACACCACTGCTTTTCTGTTGTGTGTGGTTGGTGTTTTTTTTTTTTTTATTACCTACTTTTATTCTACTTGCCATTTGCATTGCTTTCAACTTTAGGGAGATTATCAACATACACAATTGCCTTTTTGTATATCAATACTAATTTGAGGAGCCTGCTTTGATTCCTAATACAAAGTGATCTCTGCTGGCTAGCTAGCCTGAAAGAAGCATGAGAAGGAGTGACAGCAGAGACTCCCAAATGGAGAAAGTCACAGGAAACGCTGGACCTCATATTTTATCTATCTATCTGATTCATCTTGCAGTCAAAAAATTTGGGGCTAAGTCAGGTACTTGACTCTAACAGATGCTAGTTTTTGCATCTATTATATGAGTTTGTAGCTATTAAAATGGAAAAAAAATGGAATGGGATCCAGGAGAAAAATAGGAAATCTATAATAACATCTGTTGAATAAAGATTTAAATCTTAATCAAATGACTTAAATTTAGGCAAACTGTTGAATAAAGTGTCTTAAACTATTAAATTCTCATTAAAATGCTGTTCTCTTTTACTCTCTCTAGAAATTGCTGTAGCTGCATTTTTTGATGCTGTAGAAATAATTATGTAAAGATTAAATGCATTTTCAAATAACAACTTCTAACTTCACATATGATGACAAAGAGAATTGCTAAACCTAATCTTTCTTCAGAGGTAGTTCAGACTCTGCATATAATCGCTTCAAGATAACTGCTCCAGCATGTTCTGTCACGAGAGAGCAGCATCACTCCTATCACATGCATCCAATTAAATTTCATTTTTTCTTCTTCTCCGTTATATTTTCAACTGCTTAAAGTGAATTCTAACATTGGTAAGGGGAACCAATGAACACAGGGTGGACTGGACAGCACTTGAGCTATCACACTCAATTTACCTTTGCTTTCTGAAAGTAATCTTCATGTCATTGGTTATCTTCCTACTTCAAACTAGTAGGAGTATCAAGAACCCCTTGACTGATAGTTCCTTAAGAATTTTAACATATGAGAATAAAAAAGTGACTGGCTGTAGAGGATGTTCTGTCTTGGGTAAATATACTTCTTCCTCCTTTTATTTTTATTGTTCATATATACAGCCTATTAGCTTAATGGATTTATGGCAGAACTATCCCCAAGGTAAAATATTGGTTAACTATGCTGCAAACGGCTCTTGAGATCATCTTTGTAAAGTGGTAATTTCCATTTCACATACTATAATGTTGTCAAATTTACATTTTACAGATTATATGTAACCAGAATATTTACTACAACTTTGATGGCACTAGCTAACCCTTTAGGAATGTGCTACCATTGACACAGTACTTACTTAACTTATAAACATTGTGTTTTCTGTATATTAACAGAAAGGGCTTTATAGCCTGAGGAAGGAAAAAAAAAAAGTGAAAAAAACCTAGTAACAGTAGCTGTCATTACATGCTTTTCCATCTGAATCCAGGAACAGAAGGACCATTTATGTTAAAATCTGTTTTGCCTTGAATAGGCTGGTTTGTTTCACAAAGCCATGCAATACGTCTTAATCACAGGGTCAGGAAGGAATCTTTTCCTGTGTAATAACTGCACCTTATTTTGCACTCAAATTTTTCATCCTGGTAGATCCAAGTGGTAAACAACAATCCAAGTAAACAGTGCTTTAATTTGAGGTCAATTGCAGTTTATCATTTAACTGAATAAATATGCATTTAAAATCTCTTTGTATCATTACTATTCTATCAGCAAATAAATGTGATTCATTGATAATTGTTTAGAGAAGAAAACATTTTGCACTCATGAATTGTAAACTCCTGTAACTAGCTTGCATGGAAGTATATTCTTCTAACTGTACCTGATCAGAAAAACATCTAATTAAATATTCAGCATAGAAGTAGTTTCAGTGGTACTTTTTGGTTTTGTAATAATTAAAAAGTTAACTTCTTCATAGGCAAGGTTGCAGTTGGTTTCATTTATAAAAACCTATATTAACTGTAACTAATTCCTGTAATTTTTGCATAGTAGTTTGCCTGACAAATCATTCATTCATACTGAGAAAGAATTAGTCAAACTTCCGAAGGAAACTTCACACTCTGCTTGAGGGCTACAGATAGTCACATAAGTTATACTGGCAAAATGCAGTTTGCCTGCCACTTCTGTGTCTCTCCTACCTCTTACTACCATATGGTTGTATTCTCCTTTAACTTGTGTCATTTAACTTGAAAACAGATTATAAATAAAGCTATTTACATTTTTTGTGTGGATAGTTGTGGTTTTGCTCTGTTTTAGTTTGTTGATGTATCTGCAACCAGCTTCTAAATACAACTTTTAACAGCTTTACATCAGTTGTTTTAAATGCCTGCTTATGTTGGTTGCTGCGTTTTATTAGATATGCAGGATATGGTTTTAGTTCTTGTTTTCTTTTTGCTTCGTATAGGCTCATTCCCTTTATCGATCCAATTTTTAAAGATGTTATATCTGGGAAAATTTAAGTGTAGAACCCATTTTTAAAATACTGGATTTAAAGTAAATACTTTCAAAACTAAGGTTGCTAAATGCCAATATGGCAGCTGAAAAATTTGTCAGGACAGTGAGTTGACTCTTTATTATGGCATGTTTGTAAATGCTACTTTAGTGACCAACTTTTCTAGCGTTCTGTATTAAGTGGCTACCTTTGGGTGACCTTGGATACTTCAGGAAAAACATTTCAGTCTTTTGTCAAAAACAAAGCTAGGGCAAAGTACATTTCGGTGCTTAAAGAAGTCCTGAATTCCTTCCTGCACTTGCTTTGGGGAAGAAACTTGATCTACAGCAGATGCATAGGGTTCTTCCTAGTTTCCCTCAGGAACGTGCCCCCAATGCCTCTGAAGTGGGAGGAGCAGTTTGTACCACCTCAATTTAACAATTAAAAATGTCTGAGTTCTGGTACTATCTTTAATTCTCAAATACTTGTGAATTGTGCACCCTTTCACAGCATACCCTATATCCCAAAGATGCACAATTCTCATGAAGTTTCTTTGCTTACCCTGCGCACAAGTCTGCAGCTTAATGAGACAGATTTGCTGTATTACCCTTCCCCAATGGCTGAGCCACAGTCAGCACGCTCTTTGGCTGATACTTTCCTTTCTAGCTACTAGCATCCCAATAGTGCCAAAACCAGCTGCTGTACCTCTCTCATCTCATGCCTTTATGCTGCTCTAGTCCTCATGGCTATGCGTGTACCATGCAAACAGCCTGACTCTTCAGAGGCCCAGTGGTATTTCTTTAGGGGGTTGGATTCTAGGAGCTTGTCTATAACAGGCCAGGTCCTTCAACTGAAGCAGTTCTGTCAGACGCACAATTTTGTTCTTAAATGTTTGAATAATTTCAGAATATTTAAAACTACTAACAAAAGTAACACAAAGTACTATTATCTCAGAGAAATTCCATATGAATATCTTTCCCCCTGCAAGCTGCTGTTAATGCAGTATAATTTGCCAGAGCTGCTCTTTTTTCAAAGGCTTTATTTTCAATAGATAAAATGTAAACGCATCTTGTTAAAAGATTTTAAAACATTCCAAAAATGCTCAGAGAAATTAAATAAGCATGCTTATGCTTATGGATATATTGGGGTTTTGTTTTTACATGTTTTAATATGATTCAGCTGCAAAACCATAGAAGGTTGGTCCAAAAAAGGCCAGCAGACATGTTTATAGAACTTCAGCTTTCTTTTTTGACTTCTGAAGAAACTACACAGACTTGTGCAATGTCATCATACTCATATGTTCTCTTCAAAAATGTGTCTGTAAGTCTTAAGCCAGAGACACTCTAGAAAGGAAAAGCATTTATAAAAGTCATTATTAAAATACTAAGTTTATAAAAGGGGTATTTTATAACAATGCTGTGTTATGAAAACTTACTTGCAGTCCCTGCACTGAAGACAATAACGTAAGTGCAAGATGGAGGGATGAACTTGGGTGTAGCTTTCCAAGCTGTCTTCCTGAAACTCCACACCAGTGGATGGAATTAGTATTGCACATCTCTAAAATCAGATCCATAGTCCTCTCACTGCTAGAGGAAATTGGAAAAACAAGAATAAACCTAGGGGTTTTTTTAAGCACTGAAGGCCTACAGACATAAAACAGCTTGGTTATTACTCAGGTTATTGTTAATCAAGCATTTATTTAATTTATAAGTAAAAGAAGGCAAGTAAGTGTTACTGTGATGTAATGCTTTCACGAGAAGCAAAGGTATGCTAAATACTTTACCTGTAGTCCCTGGCTTCAAATACTATTTATAATTGCACTACTTAAATTTCACTCTACAATCCTTTTGTAAAGGACTACTGTAGATCAAAATACAGATAAAGGTGTTAAAAAAGACCACCTAGACAATGGGTAGCAGGCATTCTAGGAGTGCTGCAGAATTAGCAGTAAGGTCAGAATGGATACGAATGGCATCATTTATTCTTATAAAGTTAGTTGTAGTTTAAAATAAGCACTAATTTTGTTTAAGATGACTTATGATTTAAGTGTGGGGTGCATCTTATATGATACTGTAGCCAGTTCCATGAGCTTCTACTGCAAATTGTTGTTGTTTCCTAAGCCAAATGTTATTGGCAGATAACGATGGAAGAACTTTTAAAAATCACTTTACTCCAAAAGATATCACTTTACTCCCTAAGTTCCAAAAAGATTTACTCCAAAAATCATCAGTTTGGTGTTGCTACAACTCACAGTAAAAAGCAGGTTTGAGTTGTTTCACGAGAAAGCATTGAAAAAAAAATAAACAAAATAGCCACAACTTACCCACTCAGGAAAATGCACAAGAATCACATGACATCATTACCTGCAATTTGTTATTTTACATGTAATATCAAAAGGTTCTTCCAAATTTACGGTGTCTGGTATTGTCTCCAGAGAAAGCCTTACATCGCCATAACCAGGAGCCTGAGAAGGTACAAGAATGCATACTTCTCAAATGCTGGCCAGCACAGTTGAAGTTTTTACTGCTCAAGTTTTCGTTTACTGCAACAAACTTAGTATAAGAGGAATTTAAAGAAAGAAGATTAACTCTTTGTGCTTTTGATCTGTACTCAGATTGCAGCAGTGCTCCATCCACTACTGAATATCATCATTTTGATAGGTTCAACAATTCATTAGGCAAGGATGATCTGTGCAGGGAACAATATACTCTTTATTACTAAGTTTTCCAGATAGTCCAAGTTCTTAAAAGTTTGCATACCCACACACGCACCGTATGTGGTTTATGATCTGAAAAGATCAAAATTTCATTCTAAGAACCCTCTATTGATAACAAGAGGAGATGGATAACAATGTAAGTACAGTTTTCCTGCATTACTCCACCACTGTTCCACATCCTTAGAAAAGGCACTGTTCCTAAGAAATGACTGTTCATTCTCCTTGCCCTTTCAGTCCTCCAAGCCTCTGCCAAAATAGTTAATTGCCACCTGTTAAAATGGTGCATGATATGAACACTTGTCAACTATCAAATTTTATCAAGAGCCAAACGCACTTCATATGGCTTACTAATGAACCTATGATAAAAAGCTCTAGTTACTACCAATCCAGGCTGATTCAAGCCAGTAACCTGCAGATAAAAAGCTTTACATTTTCAATACCCACAAATGACAGAGCAGAAGGAAAAAATGGGGAAAATTTGCCTGCCTGACAAGGCTTAACTGTGGCATATATTCAAATTCTGCTGATGGAAGGGCGCTGTAGGAAGTCAGGAAAAGTTAATTTGCTACCATCTTACAAGGTTTCCCTAAAGAAGCACAGAAAGCCAGGGACTGATAAGTTGGAAACATTTTTCACTCATACACACTTCATCACAGAATGAAGACAGATGCAAGGAAATCTTAACCTGGACACTAGAATGAGCAGAGGGATGTACACATTAGAAGAGGGGTTTCACACCAGTGGAGCAACATAACCTGAGAGACTTGCAAGGAAGATGTCTAACTATTCAGCACTGGACAAATATTTTCAGCTGTATTAGATGACAGGAAGGAATCTACTGGAAAAAAAACTAGTATCAAATATTCCCTGAAGAAGAGGTAGCTTGCTATAACATTCTATTATGAGAAATTATTTTTATTACTTATTATTTTAATTTTCTATTAAGAAAAAAATGCAATAAAAGCATTTTATAAAATAATTTAGCAGTAATTGGCAAAATGGATATAAGATCAGAGCAGAGGAGAGAGTTAAAAGTCTAAAACAGCACATCTCTGTTGGCCTTAACAATGAGATACAGTGGAAGAAGAGATGGCTAGGGAAAGCCTTAAAATAAAGCAACAATGAGGAAGGACAGCCTCAGGACTACGACAAGGCACTAAGCCAGCTATTCTAGGAGAGGCTGTTAGAGTCGAGAACACCATCTCTCCTACAGCTGTTTTTCAGCAAAAAAAATTGTTGCAAGGTAAACAGGGCAAAGTCAAGGAAATTTTGACAAAATGGAATGTCATGCATTGGTGATAGTTTATCCTGCCTAACTCACTAAGACTACGTCGACATTAACAAGTAACGCAGGAAGCAATCTCTACGGCAAAACAGTTGATGTTCATGACCCGACTCCCATCCTGTATGTGTTCTGGGGTTTTTACTTTGGACTAGCTCTAGTCTAGCCCTGAGCTGACTGCCCATTCCCAGGGGCGCACCCTTGGTGTACTGTGGATGTGGATCATCCAGTTTAATGTCATCCAAAAGGAATGTAGTTTGTGAATTCCAAGACCAAGACCACTCCACAAAGCAAACCAAAGCATAGTAAGCGGAGATGATCCAATTTTGTTTCAAAAGTGCATTCCTGATCTAAACCCAACAGATGCATGTAGAGGCACAGTACAGGTAAACATCTGGGCCTGCTGAGGGAAACTGGCTTTAAAACTACTAAGTGGATTAGAAGAAAAATAATGGTAGGTAAAAAGAGTTCAGAAAAGAAATAATCTGATAGCACTTAAAACATCAGGAGAAGACAAGAGAGCTGTGTTGCATCTCAAAGGAAAAGAACAACTGTATGCTGCTTTTTCAAAGGTAGGTGTTGCTCAAAGTACAAAACGTATTTCCTAGCTCTCAGTTAATCACTAGCACACAACAATGATGGGTGAGTAAATAATACTGGAATGTGGACTTTGCTAATCACCACTGGGTTTCAAGTGCAATTTTCAAAGGTTCAACAAGAAGGGATTCAGAATGAGAGAACACTGACTTAGGGAGAGAAAATCTGTCTTAAGAGGGATGATAGAAAAGGTCAGCTGGAAAAGAGGAAACTGATTAGCAAAAGCAACCAACAAGTTTTAAGTAACAGAAATAATTCAAATTTTTAAAAGGCCAATTTCTAATCTGCTGTGACTATAAGGAGATGCCTGACATCTAAACTAAAAACAAAGAAATGTTAGTGACTTGGCTGTGAATTTCCAGGATCCAAATTTCCTTTCCTAGTTCCAACTTCATATGATTGATTTCCCTAC